AAACCGTGACCAGAAACCGTGAATCGAACCGAACCGTGGATTTTGTGAACCGTTCCACCCCTAATATGTATAAACACCAAACATCACAAACACATTAGCTGCTATCCAGACCTAATTGACCAATAATTACCCCCAAATGCACTAACATTTGGTTCATAATTGGAAAGGTTTATCGAAAAACAGGCACAATTTGGAGGAGAGACGGGTGCACTGTAAACACATGATTTATCAATTTGATTTATGTGATTATTTTAATCATAAAGCATATGATTTTTATTTAAAAAGGTTCTGCTTTAAATTATCTGTACTTAACAAAAAGCACATGACTGCTTTCTGAAAATTTCCTAAAAGCCCATGAGAGGAAGAAGGAAAGCCTTTGTCTGTGTTGTGCTGTGACAGACACAATAGTGCTGGCTGCAGCAGAAACAAGGCTGCTCTAACCCTCTAAAGACAGGAGGTTTCAAACTCAGGACATTTCTAGGAGTGTGCAGGTACTGAACAAAGATCAAGCAAATTGACCTTTGCTCCTTATAACAGCTTCTTTTAACGGATCTGGATTTAACTTTACTGTACTGACAAATACTGATATACAGAATTTGATTGAAAATTTAGAATCTGCAGCAATGATTCATTGTGTTTTTTTACAGCCTATCTTAAAAATATGATACACACCACTTAAGAGTGAGATTATTAATTAACCTTTTTCCTTCTCTTTTATAACTTCCTTTATGTAGCCGGCTCCTGATTCTGCTGTTTTTTTTCTCTCTTTCCGCTCAAAGGTTGTCTCCAGCTGCATTTTGTCAGGAACACCCGTCTATTCAGACTTCCTACAACAGCTTCCAGGTAAGTGAAAATGTTTCAGTTTCAAATCAATTCTGATTATCTAATTAGATGTTTTATACTCGTACATGCAATCACATTAATAAAAATCATAAATGTCTTGTAAAATATACTACATTTGTGTTTCAACAGAAATATCTCCTCTTGCAGGGTTCAGGACGATGAAGAAGCTCTTGGTGGACGTGGACTGTGGTGTGGACGATGCTCAGGCCATCATGCTGGCGCTGGCCACTCCCAAAGTGGAGCTCCTGGGGATCACCTGTGTGCATGGAAACACGGCTGTGGAGAACGTGTGCAAGAATGTTCTGCGTGTTCTGCAGGCCTGCAATAAGCTGGATGTGGGTCACATGCAGTATGCTATTATTAAAAGTAGTTTTCATGCATAGCCTGGCTTGTAATATCTTAACATTTTGTGTTTGCGTGTTTTAATTTTTTCATTATATTCAGTGTTCTTATCATTTTGGACCAGATCCCAGTCTTTAAAGGTGCTGATAGGTCTATCCTGGGGAACATGCTGAATGCAGGAGAGTTCCATGGAAAGGACGGCCTGGGTGACGCTCCGGACCCCAATGCTCCAGGACTGGACCAGCTTCAGAAGGAGAGCGCTGTGTCAGCCATTATCCGGATTGTTAATGAAAACCCAGGAGAGGTGAGAGGTGCAGAGTATTTGGCTCCAGTCAGATCCACATATGATTGTTTCCTCTTCATCTGTAGTCATAGTCAATCAGTTTGTAAGTTAGTATAAGTCACAGGGTTTGTTAGAAATTTTGTGAAATAAGAACGCTGTGCAAACCAAAGATGGATTGTGAAAAAAGACCCAAAGCTATTTGGTGCACTTCCTGTTTAATACATCCAATGGCAGCTCCAGAAAACCTTTATAGGGGCGGGCTGGGCAGGATAGGACCGATGTGCAAGGAGTGTCTAATAGGAACCCAAACAAGTTCAGGGTCAGCCTATATTGATCACAATGAACCCACAGGAAAATGAAGGAAGCAAAACATATATATTTTCCAAATTAATGACTGAAAACAGACCAGATTTTCAAGTGCTAATAAAGATATGCACATAGTTGTAAATCTGTGATGTTCACACTGGACAGGTCACCAGTCTGTCACACGAAAACAGAGAGACACACAATCATGCACTCAGACTCACACCTAGAGATTCTACTTAACCTAACAATCATGTTAATGGACTGTGGGAGGAAGCTGGTGTACCCAGAGAGAACCAATGCATGCTCGGAGGAGAACATGAAAACTCCATGCAGAAAGACGCTGGGCCGAGAATCAAACCTGGAACCTTCTTGCTGCAAAGAAAGAAACTACCAACTGATCCATTGTGCAGCAATAGGTCAAGCAGATTCATAGAAGACTCAGCACAGACAAACCCCTCCCTATGTAATCCAAAAACGTACTTTGTCACCTTTAAGTGTTGTATATTGTTGTACAAAATTATTGCTGTGTTTTTGTATTCAGTTGTTGGTTTAAAGGAAAATTCCGGTTTTTAACACTTTTAGCCCATTTTCTGTAGTGTCCAGGATGAAATCGAATGATCGACACCAAAATTTTGAC